ATTATCACATCCCACCCAAATCTAGAGAAATCTGTAATATAAACTAACATAACTAATAGTTCACATTATCACATCCCACCCAAATCTAGAGAAATCTGTAATATAAACTAACATAACTAATAGTTCACATTATCACATCCCATCCAAATCTAGAGAAATCTGTAATATAAACTAACATAACTAATAGTTTCACATTATCACATCCCATCCAAATCTAGAGAAATCTGTAATGTAAACTAACATAACTAATAGTTCACATTATCACATCACATCCAAATCTAGAGAAATCTGTAATATAAACTAACATAACTAATAGTTCACATTATCACATCCCACCCAAATCTAAAGAAATCTGTAATATAAACTAACATAACTAATGGTTCACATTATCACATCACATCCAAATCTAAAGAAATCCCTAAAAGAAAGCAATATAGCAATAGCTTCACTTTTACATCGTGACACTGAAATCTTAACTTTTGAATATATCTGTTCATTCACTTTTTATTACACTTGTTACCTGCCACTCTGTGTCATTTACATGATTCCATGTTTGCTTATAATAACATAGTAATATGAAACAACAAAGACAAAAATGCTGAAGCCAGGTTAAGTAGTTAGCACACAGGATCACCTACAAAACTTGTAATATTTTTAAAATGCTTTTGATTAGTCGACTATTCTTCTACAGGAGAATAAATGTTGAAGCTTTACACATTAAGTGATTTTATAGATTAGATCTGCAGAAGAACATAAACTTTGTTTTTATCACTGATTTGATTTCATGTCTATTAGAACACTACGTGGAAATGTTGAAGATGTTTGATCTCTATACTCGTTTATTAACTTTATACTTAAAGAAAAATTTAATACTCTAGCACCTAACTATTCAAGTACTTTCAAACTGACTTCGTTAAACAAACCTTTAAAAGAAACATCTGTTCATCTTCGTCAATGTGATGTGCTCTTCTTGGAATACGAATATTGACTCTGTCTAATCGACATATCAGTTCTTTAACAGTAACAGCTACCTACATAATACAGTAGAATATTTAGAGAATCCCATGTTAAACAACACAACCGAAGGTCAAATCTGTTGAACCTGACAATAAAAACTGTGTTAAGTTATACAATACAACCAAATGATTTTACCTTTAAAACACAGAAGTGAAACATTTTTATATTAATTATTAGAAAAGCTTTTATGTAAGTGATTTAAGTTTGATTTTAAATATATTTATTTCTACTTTTTTTAAATTTTTTCTTGTTGTATTATTAAAACATTTTTATGTTACATCATGGTTAACTCTCTCGCACTGGCTATCCTTTACTGTGCATGTCAAGAGGTTTTAGTGGCTTACATTCAAAATTTTATTAAACTACTTTTTGTTTACATTATAACAATTAGTATAGCATAAAAGTTTAGCTAATAATCCATATTTTAATAGTATATAAGTTTTAAGTCCTTAATTTTATAGTTAGAGGAAATTGTCTGCTTTTTGCATGTTATAATTCTATGTTCTTTGGTGCATTATTTAATCAAATAAAAATTATTTAGTGCATTACTACAATTAGTATAAAAAAATTAGGGTTAAGTGTCATCGACAGTCAACAGCAAAAAAAAATATTTGGGTAAGTACTTTATTTCTTGTTTTTAATGTTTATTCTTTATTTATTGTCATAAAAGTAAATAAAATGTAAAAATAGAGATCTCTTTAGGTTAGTTAAGGTTAGATTAGGTAAAATAAATAATAATAATAATATTATAATAAAAATGTTTCACAATGCAAGCACACAAGCAGCTCATGGGTAATGTAGTTTGATTACGTGAGCTCCACATTCTCCAAGTGATTTACAACTTATAATGGCACGAATAGTAGAAATGGTTCAAAGATCAATAAATTAATAAAATTTAATTATAAATAGATGTATACTGTTATGACTTTAAAGCTACTTAGGATAAGAACATGTAGTTTCATGTTACAATTTGAAGTCATTCTAGAAAGAAAAAGAGGGTAATTTAAATTCTGAATTTTTTTTTTAGTGGTTACAAGGTCAGTCAGATTGACCAAACATGTAAAGAGTTAGTGTATAGAAAATATAAAATTTCACTGAAAAAAACTTTTGAAACATATTTAGGTTTTAGATTACACAAATGAAATCTGACATTTTTGAGGTGAAGAAAAGTATTTTTAATCTTAAAACGAAAATCACTTTGCACTCAGATTATTCAAAACAAATACTCGATATATTCATGAACAAATCTTTTTTTCACTTTATTTAAAATATTTCACTAAAAATATTACTTTTTATATGTGAAAGACTTGTAATGTTTACTGAAAGACTGCTAAATTTTGTGAAGATATACATACTATATTAAAAGTTAGTAGTATCAAATCTATAAAGACTTCAAATGAGTACAAAGAGGTCACGTGGTTGGTCAAAGTGACTGAGCCAGTGTTGAAAAAGTTAACTGATAAACCTTACAGCAAAGAAATCCTAGTTTACAAAATACATTTGACAATATCTAAAACAGACAATATAACTGAATGAATTAATCTGAAAGTTCCTGTGTCATACAAAATGTTGTACACCATATTTCATTAAGCACAACTAAGTTAAGTCCAACTTTTCTAGGTGAAGTGGTTCCAAATTTAAATCCATAACAGTATTACAATAAATTACAGTAAATATCTAAATAACTAGATTGTCAGGATTAAAATGCTACCCTTGTATCATGTCAACTTATGAGCTTGATTTTCAAAATAATATATCAGTACAATATTTACATTTAATTGCAAACCTCAATGCTTTTAGATTATCAATACAACATCCCCAGGTGGATTTGAATACAGGTAGGCAACAAGTAGCTTTATAAAAACACAATGAATCTTACTTAGTAACTTTAACATTTACATTTTTTTGCTTAAAACAATTCTAAAAACATTCAATACGACATTGTTGTGTTTTTCTGCACTTCCAATTGTGACTCATTTATTAAATCTACATTGACCATGTAATGTGTTGAGAATTATTAAAGCAAATTTTTTTAAAAACTCAAGGATCTTACAAGGGTTAAATATACAGTAATTAGTTAAAACATCACACATATATTACACGTAATTACCTCTTTAATACGACGTAACTGAATGAAGTTTGCAAAAGCCCACTGAGACTCACTCTGACCACCAGGTCTCCGAAAATCTCCACACTGACATTTCTCTTCCCATACCTGAGTAAAACATCAAAAAAAGATGACACTATAAAATACATAGTTCCTGCAAGCTATCATTAAAACTACTAAAAGCATAAAAGATTGATGTATGACTTCAGAGTTAAAAACTCTCCACTGATAAGTAATATTTAAAACATTTATGTAAAATATTAAAGACTCTTCACATATACTTAATATTTAAAGAATGATGTACGACTCTTAAGTTGTTTTCCACAAATACTTATTAAGTTACCAAACTATTCATACAAGACAGCATACTTTCTGCACTGATGCTTAATGTAGGATTTCTTTAAGAGTGGGTACTCTATATATTGTTACTTAATGTAGGATTTATACAAGATTGGATACTCTATACACTGATACTTAATGTAGGATTTATACAAGATTGGATACTCTATACATTGTTACTAAATGTAGGATTTATACAAGATTGGATACTATATACACTGATACTTAATGAAGGATTTATACAAGATTGGATACTCTATACACTGATACTTAATGTAGGATTTATACAAGATTGGATACTCTATACACTGATACTTAATGTAGGATTTATACAAGATTGGATACTCTATACATAGTTACACAATGTAGGATTTATACAAGACTGGATACTCTATATATTGTTACTTAATGTAGGATTTTTTAAGAGTGGATATTCTATACACTAATACTTAATGTAGGATTTTTCAAGAGTGGATACTCTATACACTAATACTTAATGTAGGATTTATACAAGATTGGATACTCTTCACATTGTTACTTAATGTAGGATTTATACAAGATTGGATACTCTATACACTGATACTTAATGTAGGATTTATACAAGATTGGATACACTATACACTAATACTTAATGTAGGATTTTTTAAGATTTGATACTCTATACATTGTTACTTAATGTAGGATTTATTTAAGATTGGATACTCTATATATTATTACTTAATGTAGGATTTATTTAAGACTGGATACTCTATATATTGTTACTTAATGTAGAATTGATACAAGATTGGATACTCTATACACTGATACTTAATGTAGGATTTTTACAAGATTGGATACTCTATACACTGATACTTAATGTAGGATTTATACAAGATTGGATACTCTATACATTGTTACTTAATGTAGGATTTATACAAGATTGGATACTCTATACATTGTTACTTAATGTAGGATTTATACAAGATTGGATACTCTACACACGGATACTTTATGTAGGATTTATACAAGATTGGATACTCTTCACATTGTTACTTAATGTAGGATTTATACAAGATTGTATACTCTATACACTGATACTTAATGTAGGATTTATACAAGATTGGATACTCTTCACATTGTTACTTAATGTAGGATTTATACAAGATTGTATACTCTATACACTGATACTTAATGTAGGATTTATACAAGACTGGATACTCTATACACTGATACTTAATTTACAATTAACAATTTCTACAAGAGTGGATAATCCCTGGCCTGATACTTACACAATAGGCTTTAAGAAAAGCCAAACAATCACTGAAAGACCCATCTGCCCACGCCAATCGTGATCTTTAAATAAAGATGATATTATATAAAAAAAACAATTTCAAATATTCCATATCATGCACACAATATATTCAAACAGTAAAGTTATAAATCTGAACACAAAATTAAGATTTTGTCATTAAATTCAGAGACTCACTTTGATGTGTCTTTTTTCATCCCTTCCTGGACAAGGATTTGTTATATTTTTTTCCATTATCATGGTAGAAATAGTTAATCAATTAATCTCCTAAATATTACAGTTTTAAAAAATGGAATCAAAATAGGGACTTGTAGCTTGAGGAAATAATGCTAATACTATGTCTCAAACCTAGAAATACTGTTCTATTTGAAACAGTTGAGTTTAATGAAATTCATAGCTTTTGTATGATTCTGTCAGGAAAACAATAACAACCTCTTTACTGGCTTCATGCCAACTGGATGACTATTGCTTCTGGTATCATTACCACAATGTTATCATTGATAATGGTACTGGATGTATGATCACTATGATGTATGGTGATCAACATACCAGATGTTATGTATATGCTTGTAAAATTGATATTGCTACTATATTTATACCCTGTAGATATATGGTGAGTTTGTAAACACTGGATTGGAGAGACTACTGAACTATAGTGGTATGGTGCAAGGAGTGGATTTTGTAACTGCATGAGTTTTATACAATCATGTATTTATATCAATATATACATGCATCGTTTATAATTTTTAAAGTTGTAAAGCAATATATATATATATATATATATATATATATTATGTGTGTATGAGTGTGTGTATATATATA